AGGGATGATCTGCCACATGATTTTCCTCAGCAGCAGATCCAGCCAAAGTCTCTCATATATCTCTCCACCTCACTTACTCCTTCCTGTCCTCTTCTCCAACTTCTAAGATATCCATGTCCATTTGCTTTGCAAACTCTTTTCATTGCTCTGCACAGTGACTCCTCTTCACTACCTGCTATAGCTAAATATTAGGCCTGTTGCACCCATGAAAGTCGAAGCACACTATGCAGACTCTACTACGAGCTTTTTGTGTACAAGTTGTTTAAACTTGGTATATAGTTCAAACGAGAGATATCCACTTTCAAGAGCATCCATCGACCCTTAGAAGAACTTGTTTTAAAATATTTGTCTCACTTGACGCCTTTTGCAACTTTCACCAGTTTTGACAGTTCCCTGTTACATCCAAGTCCATCCCTCTCAGAGCAATCGGCTTTGCTGTTCCTTAAGGTCTTTTAATCCAAACGACTTGCATAGTCAGTTCTCTGCTTTCCTCCAGGCAGCCTCGCATGAATTAAATTCCATCTCTCAGTTAGTTTGTGAAGATATCACACCATCTTCACCAAAGTTCTTTTTGGAGCACCTGATATGGTGTTAGTATGTGGCGTGCAAATGCTTAGCTCCCACTGTGGCTCATATGGTCCTCTTCAGGGAGTAAAAAGGAAGGTGTCAAAGAGAGGAGACCCTAGCACTGCAGCAGTTGCTGGGAAGCCACTTTGATCTGGGCTTTGTTTCCAATCAGAAAGTTGCAATTAGTGAGACATACTGCTTGCTCCCTCACTGCTTTTCTCACCTATTACATTCCTCCATTACCCCTGCCCTTCTTTGTCAAGGACTGGGACTTCTTCTGGCCCTGGAAGATACCTAAACTGAAACAAAGAAGGAATACAGTGAAAACCACTCTAAATGTTCCAGGTCTTTGTGAGGGTAACCCTTCTAACACCTTGGGCTTCATCCTTATTGTTGTACTACCATCAGCCAGTAAGAAACATCCAAGCACCAAACATAAATCCATACCCTCCCCTTTCTTATCCAGCAACAAAACATTTTGAAACTGTATTGCTGGAAGAAAGTAAACGTCACTCCGATCTTCAAAAAAGGCAAGAAGGAGGACCCAGGGAACTACAGACAAATCAGCCTCACCACAGTCATGGAAAGTCCATGGAGGAGCTAATCCTGAATACCACTTCCAGGCACATTAAGAGCAAGAGGTTGGTTAGGAGTAGTTAGCATGGATTCATCACAGGGAAATCATGCCCAAACAACCTAATAGCCTTCCAGGATGCAATGACTGCCTGGGTAGAGGAGGGGAGAACAGTGGATGTTGTCTGCCTTGACTTCAGTAAGGCTTTAGACACTGTCTCCCACAACATCCTCACAGACAACATGAGGAAGTATGGGCAAGAGCATCAGACAGTGAGGTGGACTGGGAACTGGCTGAATGGGAGAACTCAGACGTTCTAATCAGGCGTGCAAAGTCTAGTTGGAGGCCTGTAGCTAGTGGTGTCCCCTAAGGGTCAAAACTGGATCCCATCATGTTCAATTTACTCATCAGTGATCCGGATGAAAGGACAGAGTGCACCCTCAGCAAGTTTGCTGATGATACTAAAGCTGGGGGAGTGGCTGAGATATCAGAGGATTGCACTGCCATTCAGAGGGACCTCTCTTTCAGGCTGGAGAGACGGGCGGGGGGAACCTCCCGAGGTTCGATAAAAAGAAGTGCAGAGTCCTGCACCTCGGGAGGAATAACCCCAGGCACCAGTACAGGCTGGAGGCTGACCTGCTGGAAAGCAGCTCTACAGAAAAGATCCTGGGGGTCCCGGCGGACAACAAGTTAAACACGAGCCAGCAACCAGCCCTCACGGCAAAGAAGGTCAATGGAATCCTGGACTGCATTAGGCAGAGTGTTGCCAGCAGGTCGAGGGAGGCGATCCTGCCCCTCTCCTCAGCCCTGGTGAGGCCACACCTGGACTACTGCATCCAGTGCTGGGCTCTGGTAGCTCAGTGCTGGAACAGGCTGCCCAGAGAAGCTGTAAAGTCCCCATTCTTGGAGATATTCAAAAGCTGTCTGGACACAGTTCTGGGCTAGGTAACCCTGTTTGAGCAGGGGGATTGAACTAGATGATCTCTAAAGACCCCATCCAACATCAACCATTCTGTGATTTACGATTCACTGTGATCATGTAATCTGTAGGTAGCACTGTAAAACAGGATCTTTACAGCCAAAGCTGGCCTGTGAGAGAGAAAGAGAGGAGGGCTGACACATCACGTGCGGTCTTTATAAAAAGCTCAAGACACCTCAAAACCACATATGGAACATACTGCTCATGACCGGTAAAGTACTGCAGAAGTCCCATGAGCATTTCAATTTTGTTTGAATAAGACAAATAACACCCATTTAGAAGAGCACAGCTGAGGGGAGAAGTCTAAAGAGCATTTGCAAGACAGTGTGAGCAAGGTCATGAGTTACAGCAAGCAAGAAACAAAGCTCCCTTTTGAAAAGCAATTCACAGGGGGCGTCAGATTTTGGAACCAAGTGTGTGGGGCAGCGGTGAGAAACAGAAGGTGCTGCCGAGTGCAGCAGGTGTCACCATGTGCCCGAAAGCTCTTTGGCAGAAAATGCCACATAGGTATGACTCCACAGCTAGATTTGCATTTTGCTGCTGGTTTTTTCTCCATGGACCCTTGCTTATGTTTTTGTCAAGAATGTCCTTGATGGAATGAATTCTACGTTAGCTTCACCCATAAGCCTGCCTGGATTTAGAAGCAAATCCACATACTCCAAGTGAGCTCAGCTCACTTATGTCCAGGTATGCAGTGAAAGCAGATAAAGTAGTACATGCAGTCGATGCCAGCTAGCATTTCTGGAGAAGCCAGGAGCTAAGCCTGCCTCCTTCCAGCAGACTATGTGCAATTGCAGGTGCTGAGCTTCAGAAGAAGCCTCCCTCCCAAAGTGCAATGATTTGCTGGGGGGAATCAAGCAGCACACATGTGAGGTCTCCCACTCCAATGCTGGCTCTAACTGCATAAAATCCACTGCTTCAAAAGAAAAGTTGCAAATTTACATCTTGCTTCTTCCCATAACTGTTAGATATGGTCAACTGAGTCTATCAGTTCTGTACAGACATACATTTCTTGGCACAACACACAAGTGTTTCTTTGTTTTTGTTCTTTTAGAAACAGCCACATTCCTGACCTATATCTCCAGTAAATGATTTTTCAACCTGTACCAGTAGCAGGCAACTTCTGATGTTTAACAGAAGGTGTATGTCTCCATACAGCAGGACGAAGTCTACAGACAATTAGTTTGTCTTCATCCCCCAGCAATCCGCAGACCAACAATTGCAAACCACTCCCGCATTGCACTGGCCTGATGTGAATTTGTCTTCCAGCTGCTCTTGTCCCGGTAATTAATCCTAGCAGGTCACTCTTGGTTATAAAAATCTTTGAAGTTAAAGCCTCATTTCTCCAATAGCCAAAATGTAGTACTTAAAAGGGACTGAGGAAGCCAAGACACTTCCCCCCTCTGCCAGCAACTAAGAGGTTACAGAAATTAGCAATTTATATCCTGATATTCAAGGGCAGCGGATAATAGACAGGAGGGGGAGGAGCAACACGACTTTTTAAGAAGATGAATAGTTCTGCAATAGTTTATTGTCTTCATCATTTCTGGGTACACAACCATTCCGCGACTTAATGCTGAGGTTATACCCACCTCTTGAGTCTTCCGTGCTGAATAACTGCTCTAGCGCTTAGCACATTAAAAGCACCGCTCCACAGAAAAATGGACTGGCAGTGCTGACCCTGCCCCCGTCAGTGTGATTTTTAATTGCTGATTAATTTGCATCTCAAAACTTACTCTACAGAAGGGAAGTGGGAAGAACTGGCAAAGAAGAACGGAAAAAGTCACGGACGCCCCGGGACACTTTTCGGCCATCTCCCCAGCAGCGATGCGGACGCAGAAGGCGCGCTCTGGGTTCCGCGCCGTACCCCCCGGGCCGGCCTCCGCCTCAGAGCACACCCTGCTGTGCAGACAGCACCGCTGCAAGCACCGCCCCAGGCGCGTTAACACCACCTGTACCACCAGCCCACACAAAACGAAAGCCACCACCTTTTCCATTTCACACGCCTCTTCCGAACCAGCCCGCTCGAAACGACTGCAAGATGCGAAGAGCGAGAGAGGGGGCAACGGCACAGAAAAGGAGACGCAACACCGGCAGGGAAGAGCAGCGCGGGAGCCCCGAGAAGAC